CCCCTCAGTATCTTGGAATTCGACTGTATTTGGAGATAGGGCGTTAAAGAGGTAATTAAGGTAAAGTGAGGTCATATGGGTGGGCCCTGACTCAATATGACTGGTCTCCTTATAAAAGGAGATTAAGACACATACAACACAGAGACCATGGGGTGACCGTGTGAGGACATAGCAAGAAAGCTGCCATCTGCAAGCCAAGGAGAAAGGCAGAAGAAACCAGTCTTCTCAACACCTTGATCTTGGACTTTTAGCCTTCAGAACTGAGAGAAAATAAACTTGTTGTTTAAGCCACCAAGTCTCTCAATATTTTGTTATGACCGCCTTAGCAAACTAACACACATTGTAAATTTGTTCTGAATTTTATTAGTCAAATAAGGCACCGATTCCTTTTTATGATAGTATTTGGTTTTTCAACTTTTAGAATCAACTTATCCTGGATACTAAAACAGTGTCCACAGTATAACTGACAGAAGTTAGAAGGTAAAAGGGCACATGATAATTTTATATGTTAACTTGGTCAGACTATGGTGACCAGCTGTTTGGTCAAACACTAGATCTTCATCTCACATACTAGAATGTCAGAGATGCTGCCTTGGCTTACAGAACAAAAAGATTTATGTTACCAGGTGACCAAGATAGGACTCTAAAATAACTATCAAAAAATGGCAAATGCAGGGGCCAGCCCCGTGGCCAAGTGCTTAAGTTTGCATGCTCCACTTCAGCGGCCCGTGGTTTTGCCGGTTCGGATCTTGGGCATGGACATGGCACATCAGGCCATGCTGAGGCAGCGTCCCACATGCCACAACTAGAAGGACCTACAACTAGAATATACAACTATGTACTGGGGGGCTTTGGGGGGAAGAAGGAGGAAAAAAAAAGATTGGTAACAGATGTTAGCTCAGGTGCCAATCATTAAAATTTTTTAAAAATGTCAAAGGGAGGGGGCGGTGTAGTGGAGGATAGTGACTATAGGTAGATGATCAACTCTCACATTTCTAAAGTGGAAAAATCAAGAAATCGCAATTGCTAAGTATATGATTTATATCAGAAAAATTAAAAAACAGATAATTGAAAGGTTCCTCTAGGAAGGTGGGCTAGGGGAGAACAGTAGGGTGGGGAAGAATTACTCATGGTAAGCAATTCTGTTTCTTATTTTTTTAAGCCATGTGTATGTATTTTACACTGGGATAGCGGAGAAAGCAAGTTTCTACTTGTCTTTCAAGACACAGATCTAATGTTGCCTACTATAATACCAACTTCCCTGGTTAAATTAGACTCTCACTCTCTTGTGCTTTTTGAGCACTAGGTTCTGAGACCTCTCATATTTCATACATCTACTTATGAGTCTCTTCTATTACTCTGAATTATTTAAAGGTAAAGGCAGTATTTTTATCTTTGCTTCCGCATCAGATCTTTAATAACTGTTAAATGGATGAAAAGGTAAATTTTGTAGAGTAAAGGCTTTGGGAAGCTGCCAAATCAGGGTTTGATTCCTAGGCCTTTCACTAACCAGTAATAAGACCTCATGTGACCTCAGGTACATTGCCTAACCTTTTTGACTTTCAGCTTCTTTATTACTTAAAGAGTTGTTGTACAGTCTATAACATCCCTAGCACTCTACCAAAGGCATACTGAAATGCTCAACTCTTCAATGACATAGTGAACATGTTAGTGCTGGGCTAAGTAGGTTAATAAAGATTACTGAAAGCAGTGTCCTCTCTCTGAGGTTATCCTGTTTGTTTCCAGGACCACACTGGGATTGACAGGCAGCCACTGGCACCTAACAGATTCCTTAATGTTAATACCATGCTTCACGCAGGAAATGTTCAAGATGACTGTGGAACATCTTGTTATGCTAGATAACAAAGGAGGATAGCAAAGACAAGGTTTTCTTATCTGTATTTTATTTCACATGAAAATGAATTTTAAAAACTCAAATGAGCAAGAGACTTCCAGTCCCAGCTAAGATGGGGTTGCTTATGGTAGAACAACTTTCATGTCAAAAATAACCATTAAAGCTGGATAAAATCTCTCAAAAATCTGTTTGAAGGCATCAAAGGACTGCTGAAGCAGAAAGAGCTTGGGCCATCAAGATCCTGGGGAAAGATGAATCCCAGTTTGACGAGCCAAACTGTATAGCCTCTTTTATCCTTAGATCATTTATTGATTCTAGGCATGGGGTAAGAGACAGGACCCAGATAAAGGACTCAAGCAATGGACAACTACTAAGAGGCAGAGAAACCAGCAGAGCTCTTGGCAGTCTCAAGGGGCAATGAAAGACAAAAATTAGACTGTAGTTTGTTAGAATATTGAATAGGAGGGAGAGGTGGAGAGCTTAGTCAACCACTCAGCCCATTTACCCATTAAGACACTTTCTGAATTCTGAAGCTGTATAGAAGGGAAAGTTAAGAAGCTAAGCAGAAAACCTCTGGAGAGAAAAATGAATTTTGGGGGCCCTGTCTAGATACTGAGGATACAAGGATTAGAGCTGTGGAACTGCAGCAGGCACAGATCCAGTGAACACTCTAACTGTCAACTGGAAAACCCCTGGATGACTATGTAGGGGAGAAAGTGAGGGTAAGAGGTAAGATCTTAAGAAAACTGTAATCTAGCCTTAATTAAGTCAGCTCAGGCCCTGAGTGGATTATGGTGATCAATCCCCATTCTGCCTAGTAGAGGAAAGGATGGACTCTTTGTGTAAGAGGTTCTCACTATCCAGAGCCTCTACTACAAATGTCCAGTATTCAATCAAAACTTATCAGGCATACCAACAGAGTGGACCAAATGATCAGAAACCAAAGAGATCCACAAAAAATCTAAATCATGGAGTTAATCAGACAAGAACTTTTAAATAACTGATTGAGGGGCCGGCGCAGTGGTTAAGTTCGCACGTTTCACTTTGGTGGCCTGGGGTTTGCTGGTTTGGATCCCAGGTGCGGACATGGCACCACGTGGCAAGCCATGCTGTGGTAGGCGTCCCACATATAAAGTAGAGGAAGATGGGCATGGATGTTAGCTCAGGGCCAGTCTTCCACAGCAAAAAGAGGGGGATTGGAGGCAGATGTTAGCTCAGGGCTAATCTTCCTCCAAAATAAATAAATAACTGATTGATTAGTTCAAGAAAAACATGGAGAAAACAAAAGAAGTTCCCCATGGAATTAGAATCTATTAAAAATAACTGAATGGATATTCTAGGACTGAAAAATACAAGAAGTGAAATTAAGAACTCAATAGATGGGTTTAGCAGCAGTAGAGATAAGTGAATTGGAAGACAGATCAATAGGAAATACCTAGTCTGAAGCACAAGGGGGAAAAAAGGATGAGAGACACAGAAAAGAGAGTAGGAGACATGAAACACAGTGAAAAGTTCTAACATCCAGATTATTGGAGTCCCAGAAAGAGAGGAGAGACAGAAAATAGGACAGAAACAATACTTGAATAATTCATCTGAGAAATTTCCAAAACTGATCAGAGACATCAACCCATAAATTCAAGAAGCTCTGTAAACTCCAAGCTGGAAAATAAACCCATACTAGGTACATCATAGTGAAACTAGAGAAAACCAAAACAAAGAAAAATCCTAAAAAGCAGACAGCAGGGAGGGGGTGGGGGGGAATACTTTTAAAAGAGCAACAAAAAGACAAGATAGCTGAATTTTCAACAGAAATGGTATAAGCCAGAAAATAATGGAATTACATCTTAAAATGTTTAAAAACTCCTAGATGCATTTAATAGAAAAGAGAATTAGTAAACTAGAAGACGGCTGGAAAAATTACCCAAAAATATAGTATATAAAAAATATGAAAAACAGGTTTAGAGATGAGAATAGTATGATATCTTTTCACTTACATTTAATCAGAGTTCCAGAAGGTACATAGAAAATACTGAAAGTGATTTAATAACTTTCCAAAACTGATTAAAGATATTGTACAGATTCAAGAAGCCCAAAAGAATGTCGAATAGGAAGGGAAAAAACATTTAGCATGCCAGTAATTTTTCTGTTATTTCTCAGCTCTAAGCTCATCCTTCTATACTCTGCTATTATACTGGAGTTGTAACTCTGTAAACTGCTATATTTTCGAGATTCCCTTACCAGCTGGTTTCCTGTTAGGTTCTGCCAATGGAAGGCACTAGAGGGCGATAGATGGCAGGAGATAGGCAGCAGTTGCCCTAGACCTGGTGACTTTTTTCATAAGAGACAGTTTTATATAGTAAGCCACGGAGATTTAGGGATTATTTTATTACGTTAGCATAAGCCTATCCTATCCTAATAAAATATGCAGAAACTATTTTTTTAAGTAGACCTTTGCACCTCATACCATATACAAAAATAAAACCCGAGTGTATTAAAGACATAAATGTAAAAGACAAGACTAGGATGCTTTTAGAGAAGAATATAGGAAACACTTTCATGATCTTGGAGTATAGAAGAATTTCTTAAGACATAAAAAGCATAGATCAAAAAGGAAAAAGCTTGATAAATTTGAGATAAAAATTAAGAACTGTTCATCAAAAGACAGAACTAAGTGAAAAACTAGAAAAAAGATATGGTAAAACATAACCAACAAAAACCTTGTGTCCATAACATATTAAAAATTCATATGAATCAGTAAGAAAAAGACTTGAATAGACACTTAAAGAAGAAACCTAAAGACTAATAACCATACAAAAAGGTGTTCAATATCATTAATAATCATGTTAAAATAGATAATACTGTACATGTAACGAGCTAGCTAAAATGCGAAAGTATGACAGTACCAGATACTGGAGAAGGTTGGGATGACAAGAACTCTCATTTAATCCTGGTGGGAGGGTGCATAAGCACTCTGGAGTAAATTATGTACATGGTAATGTTGAAGACTCACCTTCTAAGACTCAGCATTTTCACTTCTAGATATATATTCTACAGAAATGTGTGTTTATGTGTACCACAAATCATATATAAAAATGAAAATGGCAGCATTATTCATAATACACAAAGACTGAAACCAACTCAAATGTCTATCAACAGTAATATTGGCTATATTATGGTATTGTCCTACAATATACAGTAACAAAACTGAATGAACTATACAAATTAAAACAAATTACAGCTACACAACAAGATGGATGAATCTTAAAAACAACTGTTGAATGAAAGAAGCTAAACACGCCCAAGAATATACTTTGATTCCATTTACAAAAGTTCAAAATCAGGGAAAACAAAGTAACTACTTACTTAGGGATGTTGACACAGACAGTAAAACTATAAAGAAAAGCAAAGGAATGACTACTTCAAATCACTAGACAACGGTTACCACCAAGGTCCTGGGGGCAGGGCAGGAGATATGACCCAGGAGGGGCTCACAAGGGACTCCTGAGCTGTGGATTCGAAAATGACCTCTTCTCTAACCTGGACAGTGGTGACATGGGTGCTCATGCTCACCTTCATATTCTTTAAATTATACATCTATGTATCACGAACAATTCTCTGTATATATCTCAAATTCCAAAATAAGAAATTTCAAATTATAACAGCATTACAATCATGAAAATAGATGATTTCTATGCTCTCTGGGAGGCAAGGAAAGACTATTTCCCTCACTTGCCAAAAAGGACACTGAAGCTTGGAGAGACATTAAGTGTTGAAACCAGATCTAGAACCCAAGGTCAGGGTTTTGCCACTAAGATATTCATTACCCATATTTTGCCTGCACAGAGGAGATGCAGAGGAAACGGTGAACTTGGTAAAAAGCTCCCCCATCTTAAAAAATACTCCAAATAAGGCTCTTTAAGGCTTCTGGCAGGGACATTTTATTTTTTGGTTAAAGCCACATTAATAAAAATGCCATAAAAACAAACATGTAAACAAGGTATCAGAACTTTGGTTCATTGAAATATCTCACATCTAAAGCATCTGAGGTACAAAGGCACCTGGCTAGGTGCTAGACAGCCTGACACTGCTGCAGCCGCTCGGACCCTACCCTTGCGGCCAGAGATGGCTCAGGCTGACCAGAGAGGGTGGGACCCAGGTCACCCAGGACCCTCCCAAGTCTGCTCTCTCTGCCTGACAAACATTCACTCTTCCAAAGACCCGCCTGAGGGGCTGGAAGATACAAAGGTGTCTGTCACGTTGAACTTGAAGACAACAAGGGATGTGGGGCCAGGAAGAGGAAGGGCAGAAAAGGATGTCAGTCAACTTCTGTTGATCCACATGGCCTCAAGAACTCCTGTCCTCGTTCATGGAACCACTTATTGGAGACTGCAAACAGACAGAAAGTATGTTACAATCCTGTTCGTTAATTCAGCAGCCAAAATTAATGACTTCTTCATGATGAAGTTGCACTGGGCCCTGGGAATCAGACACAGATAAGACAGTTGCAGGCCTCAAGTTGCTCATGAGCTGGTGCGGAAGACATACATATAAACAGATAATTGTACAAAAATATGCCAGTGACACAAGATACATGTGTATAGGGTGCCATGGAAACAGAGCTAAAGGGCATCTAACCACATGGGGGAATAGGAGACCCTAGGGCTGGGACATGAAGCTGAATAGCAGTTATCCAGAGAGGAAGATGGACAGACCATGATGGTTCTTATACCGAGGGAGTCCAGGAAGTAGGAACAGGTTGAAAAAGACATCAAGGCATGAACCACCCTGGAGTGTGTCAAGTACACCAAGCAGCTTGATGTGATGGGTAGGAACTGAGAGGGAGGGGATGAGGAAGCCTGTCAAACTGCGGAGAGCCTGGACGTTAACCTCAGGAGCTATGGCCTGCAGATCCAATTTGTGTGCTGTGGGTAGCAGAGTGGCAGAGCTGATGCTAGCACTGTCTCTCACCTAAAGCTGTGTCTCAAATGCACATGAACCATGATTTTCTTGCTTAAAAATAGACTCATAATGATAAAACAAATTTATTCTAATGAACTACTGTAGTAGAGCTTTTAAAATATAATCTAACTTAAAGTAATACATGTACTTAATTGAAAAAGTCAAATTGTCTACAAAGCTTATAACGATAAACAGCAATCTCCTACCTACCCCTTCCCACTGCAAATCCCCACTTCCAGAGGACCTTCAACTCCTTTAGTTTTTCTTCTGATATTCAACGACCTATTTCTAAATAACATGCTTATAGTGCTATTTCTTGACTTTTGATTTTGGAATTCTTTTATACTACTTCTAAAACATATTTTTCCCTATCTTTCCAATAGAGTTAAATCACAAGTTTTAGTTAAATTAATATTCAGTGCTTACAGTATTATGTCACATACATGTTGCTCACACCTAAGCCACCTAGTAGAGTATACTGACATTTCTTGTACAACTTTTTCTTTTCCCCTAGGTCAGCAATTGTCTCACTTTCTTTTTCATTTGCTTAACATTCTGTGAACCTATCAGAAACCTATCCCCAAAACTCTCCAGGGAGGCTATAAACTCATCTTTTTGCAATCACTTCCAGTCACATTCTGATTCAAGCCTCTCCGTGGCTTGCCACAGCTGCTTCCAGAACAAAGCTCAAGCTTCAGCCTCCGTGGTTTGGTCCTAACCTCAAGCCTCATCTCTTGGCCCCTGTGCCACAGGCCTTCCCTCATCCAAGTGACAAAGGCAGCCAGTCCTCACACTGTGATGCTGGTTTTAGCCTGTGCCTTGTTTCATATGGGCCTTGCTTGCCTGGGACACTCTTTCCCCTCTCTGATTCCAGTTCCCCCACTGCTCCCTCAGAACCCTTGCCAGAGTCCCGTCCTCTGGGGAGCCATCCTGGACCTACAATGCTTGTGCAGCTATTCTTCCTTGGGGCTGTCTCTCTCTGGGCATCTCTGAGAGTGTTGCCAACCAGCTGTCTTGGCACATACCAGCTGAGTGGACAGCTACATGGCTGGATGGGACTACTAGTTAAAAGGAAAAAAAGAAAAAACAAAAATACCTCAAAAAAGAAGACAGCCTTAGCTTTGTGAAAATTTGGCAGCAGTTGTCTCCCAGCTCAGCGTCTAAGGCTGGCCACGAAAGCCAACACATTAAGCCACACCTTAAGCCACTCACCCCACTTGCAGCCCACAAGCACGGGGCAGGCAGCATGTCTCGTTCGGTAGTCACCTTCCCCACTCCGCAGTAGATTGTACCAGAATACAGCTGTGCCCTGGGAAAAAGAGATGACCTATAAGACGACATCCTTAGACTGGGCTTGAGAATCTGACCCTAAGCACCACAGAGCCCTCCCTGAGCAGAGATACCCTCACTTTCCATGTACAGGACTTTTCTATGGACAGGGCTCTGGGACTCTAGTGATAGAGAAGTTCCCCAGAAAGCACCTACCCTTCATGGTGGGGCAGATATTTGGAAACTCACCTGCCTCTGAAGGGACTTCCCTCCCCATCCCATCTCCCCATATGGAAGCTGAGGCCACAAAGTCAGTTCAGGTAGGAAGGGACTAAGGCCCCTCACAGTGACAGTCAAGCAGGTCAGGGAATGGGACTGGGGAACATGGACAAGGTCTGAGCCTTGCTTCAACCTCTGACCCACAAGAACGAGAACTTACCTTCTTTGGCCAAATTGCAGCCCCCAGATCAGGAAAGACAGTGGCACCACCAGCTTCTACATCACTCATCTGGGAATACAAGGCATAGAGTTTGGCCCTTTTACTCAAGGCCCTCAGAGCAACTGAGCCAAACAGGACATGACAAGATATGCAGACCACTCTCCTCTGAGCATGAACAGCACTGCTTGGAGGCTCTGCTGTACGGCCAGCCCTTGAGCTAAGAAAGGCTCTTCTCAGGCCCTGCCCCTCCCTAAACTCTGCTTAATTTGTGTGGCTCATCAGGACAGTCTCCATGACGGGTGCTCAAGAGCTGTAGGCCTGCAGAAGACCCACATCCTGGCTGCCCTCACATAGGAACAATCTTGAGTCTGTAGTCAGTAAATGCCTGATCAACCCCTACCCGTGTATTCCCATTCAGCCTGGGCCCTGCCTAAGCCACTGTGCACCGTGAGCTGCCCTGACTGGGAGCTCCCTGCTGCTTCCAATAGCATCTGTGGCCCCCACTGTGGGCTCTGTTTCTCTGATTCTAGTCACTTTTTGTTCTAGTCAGACGCTCACTTTTCCAGAACAGCCACCTTCCCTAGGGCTAGTTGGGTGGGCAGGTAGGGTAGTGTCTCTCCAGAAACCCTGCTTTCTCCCACAGTGAGACCTCAAACTAAATGGAACATAAGTTCCATGGTAGTGAGGCTGCACTCATGCCCACAGAGTGGGCATGCCTCAATCCATGCCCAAAGCACCACTTCCCCTCTCATCTGGCTCTTTTACTTCAAGTTTTTTGCCTATAATGTAATAAAATTGGAGCTAAAAAATATTTCCACAGGACACATACCAGACAGACTGAAGGCACTCAACAGACTTAGGATAAATGAATAAGATAAAAACCCCTAATGGCTTCCCACAGCCCTGGGGATCAAATTCAGGCTCTTTTCTAGAACCCAATGGCCCTGTCAGTCTCACCTCTAGCCACTCTCGACTCATGCACTGACTCTGAGCCACACTAGCCTTTTTCTATTTTTCCAATATCCCAAACTCCTTCCCTGTTCCAGGTCTCTGCACATTCTCTCCTTTGCCAGAAACCATGTTCCACCAATAATTTCCACTCAACCTTCAAGTCTCAACTAACAAGCTACTTCCCAAGGGAGGCCTTTTCTGAACCCCAACCCTGCGCTTCAAAGCACTTGCCACCATGGTAACTAAATAATTACTTCTCCTGTGTTTAAAGTCTCTCATATTAGATCATAAGCCCCACAAGAGAGATCACACATGTCCTGCTCACCAGCATGTTCATGGCAGTCCCTAACACATAATGACCACACAATAAAAACTTAAATGAGGGGCCGGCCCCGCGGCCAAGTGGTTAAGTTTGGCATGCTCCACTCTGGTGGCCTGGGTTCGTGGGTTCAGATCCCAGGTGCAGACCTACACCACTCATCAGCCATGCTGTGGTGGTGACCCACATATAAAATAGAGGAAGACTGGCACAGATGTTAGCTCAGGGCTAATGTTCCTCACCAAAAAATAAGTAAATGAGACACCAAAGGGAAAAACAAACAACGGCTTCTATCTCTGTTATTTGACAGCTTCTATGCCTCTTTAGAGCTCGCTCTCTCAGCAGAGGGGACAGGAAACTATTCCTTGTGTGAGCGGTAAACTCAACAGCCTGTGGCTGGAACACAGGCAGCAAGTGAGGGGCAGGCCACCGAGCTCTGGGGAAACAAAGGCAGCTTTCATCTAAGAGCACCTCAAGGCTACCTCCTCACTCTGCTGCCAAGGAGGGAACCCTCCAGGGAATCATCCCAAAAGTCCACAGTAACAGTGGGCCCATCAAAAAGGAGCCAGGGATGTGAAAGTCATGGGAGTGGTAAGGAGCACACAAACGTAAGCAAAAGCCAACTCTCTACTTCAGCCAAGAAGGGTGCAGAGGGCCAGAAGGGCCCAGCCACTGAGAAACAGGTGGTACTATCACCCTGACAGGAGTGCATATAAAACAGCACTCTGGACCCAGGCTCCCCTTAAGGCCCATATGATGCACAAATCATACTCACGTAGTTTAAGAATGTGGCCACACGATTCCCCGTCCCTAAACGCTTGAAAGCATCTTGCTCATGTTTCTATAAAATTAAGTGAGAGTGAACAGGTGGGCCTGGACCCGATACTTACATAGTTAAGAAACGTTGCTACCCTATTCCCCTCCGTTTTGAGGCCGCTGTCAAAAGGTCGCTGCAACAAACAACAACTTTCACCCAAGTTTGCAACTGCCTTTACCCACCACCCACAGGACTGGGACCAAAAGGTTTAGAAGAAGGTAATAAGTGCATGTTCCACACGTCAGCCTGGACCATGGGGCAAAGACTGCAAAGGAAACCCTGGCTGGGGCACAAGGGAAGGAAGGCAGGAACAGCTTTCACAAAGACCTAGTGAGGTCCTTTGCTTTAGAGTTGGGGCAAAGAATAACAGGGTTGGGGCAGGAGGAACACTCCCCACATCAAAGGGGAAACAGCCAGGTTGCACTGGGCTCCACAGGCCCCATGGTTCCAAATTTGGGCTTCTCCAGTAACAAAGAGTTGGCCCTGATGAGGCAGGGGGCCTGATGTGCAGGCTGAAGTGCTTCTACAAGCTCTAGCCTTCTCAAACCACCTGGAGGAGGGCCCTTTGAAAACATCCATGATTCAGGCCTTACCCTAGAGAAGTCAAAGTGTGGCTCATATTGTCCTCCCATTCCATAATTAGCAACCTGGTGGGAAATAACAATGTTGGACCTTGTCAGCAGCATGAACAGTCTTGAAGCAGCCCATCTTCTCAGAGATACCATCTCCCCAGGACAACCAGAACAACCTGAACACCCAAGAACAGCTTCTCCAAGGTGGAGGGTAACAATGCCCTGCCACCACAGGCAGAGCACATGCTGCAAGCATGTCGACAGCTGTGTCCAAGGGTAAGGTTGTAGCACAAACATGGTTTCCCAAACAGAACAAGATGGGCAACGTGCAGATGATCGCCACTGTGAAGAAGCTCGAGTCCTTCAGAGACACACAGAAGGCAGCAGAGGGAGCCCTTCTTGAGGCAGGCCCTGGCCTGGGCCCTGTTTGTTTGGGAGATAATGAAATGGCAGTCCAGAGGAAAGCCAACAACAAACTCAAGATTGGGGTTTTTTTGTTTTGTTTTGTTTTTTAATGCTAGTCTGGGAGTTACTCAGTGCCTGGCACAGCTCCTGTCACCTTCGCCACCCTGCCCCAGGAGCTGTCCCTGGTCAGGCTGAGTGGGGCAAACATATCCCACCCCATCTCTCAGTGGTCAGCTGAATGGAGTACTTCTGCATCCAAGGGAAGCAGAAGGACACAAGTGGCTGGCTGCAGGGAAGCCAAGAACCGCTGTTCTCCCTCAGCACCCCCAGCAGGAGCCTCAGCTTCAGCAACTACCAGGCATCATTAATTGGACTAGAAACTGTAAATGCCTTTGTGAACAGTTTATCAGCACAATGTAAGTCCTAAAACACAATGACTATTTTAGCTTCAGTAGATAGAATGAGAGACAAGGTTCAAGATGAAGTGCAAAATCTGATATGGAAGCTGATGGATCAAGTGGTACCACCAATGTCCATCTGGAAACACTTGGCTACTGTGTCTTACTGAAAACCTAAAAACCTTTGAGGTTCAGCTATTGGTGCTCAGAAAGTTGGTGTTTTTTGTACATCGTTTTTGGTGATTCCAACAGTCAGCTGAAAGGGGCTGCAAAATTGGTAGTAATGAAGACCTATAGACATGAGGGAGAGAAAGTGGATTTTCTCCACTTGCCAAGAGAGGAGATCCTTCTGTTGAAGAAAAACACAATATTTATCAAATGTGATGAAGTGCAGAATTTGGGCAGCATGATTTTCAGTGTCCACAAAAATAAAAATTTTGATATGAAGAATCAGTGGATGAAAATATGCTGTAATTCACTGCTTCAGCCTTCAAGATTCCCACATCAAAAACACCTGGAAATCCTGTCAACAGTGCAAGGAGGCCTGGTCTAGCAGGTGGCCCTAAGGCTGGAGGTCCATCTAAGGAAGGAAGTGCTAGAGCACTTGAAGAAGTGATATTACAAAATACTTTTTCTTTGGATCCACTCTAGTCAAGAACTTGAAGAAAATTTTAAATGTGACTGTGATTAGAGCCAATGCACTCAGGAAAATTCAATCACTGCTTGTTGCTGGAGCTGCACAGTATGACTGCATTTTCCAACACTCCCATTGCTAGATGGAGTGCTTAAACTTTCAGATCTCAGGTAGTGAAAGATGCCGCATTGCTATAGCTGGCTCATCTTTCAACAGTTTTGGGAATCACATTTGATCATGGTACTGATCCTACTGTACCTACACTATTTAATACTGTCCCAAAATAGTGCAAGTGTCATGGGAACTTCTGGATGTGCAGCAATCAGATTCACCATCTGGACAAACTCCAGGCCCCAGATTTGTACCTTTAATAACAAGCAACTGTACATCAAAACTGATTCCTGTGAGGAGGTATTCATTTGAATCGTCAGATTTGTTGTTACAAAAGTAGAAGGGTCAGTCATTTGAAAGACATGGGTATTTATGATGCTTGAGGTCATAGTGAAGGCAAAAAAAAAACCCGTTAAAATTACTTTTCTGGTGAGGCTGAGACATCAAGTCAGCAGTGTCTTCAATCTTAGAAAATTCTGGCAGTGTAGCATCTCTTCCTCTAAAAGACAAGCCCTCATCCAATTCACAAGAAAGACTCAACTGCCCTTTTTCTTCCAAATGATCTATAGCAAACATATAAACTACAGCCAAAAGAGTGTCAACAGGTAGCGAAAAAGCAGTTCTTTTCCAGAAGCCTGTAACATTCCCATAAGGACCCTGGGGTGAAGGCTATTGCTGGTGCCTGGGCATTTATCAGACTGTAAGCAGTCCATGTGGAATGAACACTTAGAGACAGGTGCCGAAACCCAGGCTTCTGTCTCCCAGACCATGTAGGATCAAAGCTTTCAACACTGCTGGTTGGCAAAGGAAATGCCAAGACAGTTCCTAGAGGAAGAAAGCGAACAAAAATGGTGTCTCAGCCCCCTGGCAGCTGTGGTCTGGGTGTTCCAGAAGAGCCCTTACTATAAGAGCCCCTCCACTGAGAGTTCTGGCATTCAGATCCCTGCCATCAATGAGCAACAATATGATGAGAGGCCAGACAAGATGAAGCCAGACAAGGGTTGTGGCAGAGAAGCCAGTCTAAACAGGAAGCTGCTGTCTCCTGGGGTTGCATGTGAGATAGGGTACAGAGGGTGAAGCCAGGAAGCCAGCTGGGAGAGCAACAGGGGCATAGGTCCTGTCCACTCTTCTCAGCCCCTTGGTCCAGGGTATGGAATCAGCCAATCAAACAGACTGTATGAGCCAATCAAGCAGACTGTCATCCTTAATCAGGGCCATGAGAGTCCTAACACTGGTTCTGATGCACAGGAAGCTGTGGCAGATATCTTAATAACAACAAAAAACCTGCTCCAGGAAGATATGAATCACAACAATGCCAACAGGGATGCACCTAGTGCATGGAGAGCCTCTACTGCTCTTGAAATGGTGGTGTTCTCACAATAAGAAGGAAGTGAGAAATATGGCAGAAGTCTTCTCTCAATGTGCTTGTTTGCAGAACTTGCTTAAAAATTAGACAACACTAAGTTGAGCTGAACTGAAAAGATTATATGAAATTTTGTAAGACTATTTGTAAGGTAATCAGCATATTTTTAAAAACTCTGGGAGATTTCACACAAATCCATAAAGATGACCTTCAAAATTGATTTTCTGATTACTGACACAGTTATGGGGAAAACAAAAAATAGTGATTTGCTTGGGTATGTCCAGGCAAAAGTTCAGAGACTCTTTTCCAAATGATCTTCAGTTCACTGTTCTCATGAGATCTATGGTTGATCAGACGCAAATGCCAAGCTTAATGGTGAAGGGTGCAATCCTTAAATACATAGAAACTACGGCCAGACAGATCCAAGGGACTCTAGAAAAATGCCAGTGAAACTTCTTTGGCAGTGTCTCAGGTCTTCACTTTACAAGAGAATCCAGAAGTTCTAATGTTCAGAAAAGAGCACAGCCAGTGTTGATTTGAACTCAAAAAACCAGATGACACATTATTAGGAGCTTTACCCAAAACTTTCCAGCATGGTGCCGCCATGTGTCTTCACAATCACCTTTCAAAGAAAACCAGGAAGCCAGGGTTCCACAGGAAGTAATTCAAAAAGAACACTCCACCTTCACCAGCTGAAACCCAGGCTTCTGTCTCCCAGACCAGAGGTCGCAGCCTCTCACTTCTACCAATGTATCACAGAACACTTTATCTCCAAGTGCATTTGACTACGTCTCAGACCCATGACCACTGAAGATATTTACAGGTCTCTTGGAGGTATCCCTAGAACAACTCAGGATTTCAGGTTCTGTAATCAAGAAGACATGAATGGGCCTGCCATGCCACCACTGATCCCTAGCGCTGCTAGCATAATACTTGGGCACAGAGAAGATATTCAATCGATATTTGTTGAATGCTAACTGTTAAATGCCGGCAGGCATGCTTAATTCTGGTTTCCCAATGTGAGGTCACTCCATATTCATAGTATTGTGCAGTCATACAGTTTATTGGGCAAGCCTCCCGAGGCCTGGCCCTGGACAGCTTGGGAAACCATCTAGCCAGAAACACTCACTCCCAACCCCAGGCTCCCAGGGCTGACCAGCCATACCTGCAACAATTCTGCAGTCTTTACTGTTAGACCTGTGATGTGCTGCATCCGAAGATTAACTCGAGCCACAACAGGGTCATCATCCTCCTCCAGCCAGGAGCTGGGCCAAAAGAAGAGGGAAAGAAAGGAAGGTGGGGACAGCAGGCTTAGATGAGGTCCTGCACTCTCTCCCCAGAGTCAGGGCCAGCACTAATAGGCAGCACAGGGAGAGTTCTCCAGGTGGGTGAGGTGCCAGCAGGCAGGATTAACCAAGCCATCCTCCCTTGGGTAGGGACTGGGAGGCCCTAGAGTTGGGGCTTGAGCAGCCATCCCACCACTACCACCACCATTTTTGCTAACCTTTTGGAAACCCTGTAGCTGGCAACAGTGAGGACACCTGTCTTGGGATCACGAACAGTGGCTCGTGCAAGCTGGAATGCAATAAGAGAGGGAAAACTTATCCTTCTTTGCCTTGAGTGTTTTCCTGGAGAGACTGGGACCAGATCTGCAAGCCAGGCCAGTGGGGAAAGAAGCTTTGCAGAAAGTAGCCCTAGCCAAGGCCCCATGATCCTGCAAGCAAGGGCAATAGTCTGAGGCCTCCACATTCCTGCTCACTGTCAGATTATGGCCACTGCCCTGTTCGGTCACTGCCCATCCCTGCTCCCACCCAGATCTGTGCTGTCTACAGAATACCTATGAAGTCTGCTTTGTCCATCCAGCCATCTGCCTGAATAGCCCCCTTTCTCACCAGGCCTATGTACCACCCCTGCCTGAGCAGAATCTGTGCTTGGCTGCTCCCAAAACATTCAGACTGTGCCACCATCTCTGAGCCTCAGCCTCGCATACTCCTCTCAACTTGGTCAAGTTCACCATCCTTCTGAACCTCAGCATCCTCCTCTGCCAAGAAACCTAGCCAAACACTCTCCTGCTGCACCAGCTCACACGGGGCTCCCACTGCTGCAAGGAGCAAACACAGGAGGCAGAGTTTTAATTCCCTTAGGTGCCTCGCAAGAGCAGATAATAGAATGAGGAAAGGACTTGACAAGTTGAAATAAGTGAACTGTCACCTGGAAGTGACCCACCTCCACATACACATTCATACATACACACATACTCCTCACCTACCTCATCTCCCCACAGTCTCCACAGAAAGGTGTAGTGATACTTCCAGGCAGGACCTGCTGCCCATAGCCAGCCCCCAATACTTCAGCTGTGGACTGCCCTAATGACCTCACATTGGTGGGATCATAGACCCAGATACCCCCACTCCAGTTAAGTACCTGCCCGTAATTTCAATAAATACCTAATGAGTGCCTACTAAGTGCCTGGCACTATGCTAGGTGACTGAGATATGGCCCCTGCCTTCACACAACTTAGTCAAGTGGGGAACACAGAAAATTAGCTGGGTAATTGCAGCACAGCACAGTACAAGCTGGGAGTTGGGTAAGCTTAATGTCTGTGGGAGCTCTGTCTATAGGGTCAAGAATGGTTTCCTCAGGAGGGAACCACCAACTGAGACTTGAAGGGTAAGTAGGCGTTAGCCAAGTGGGGGTATATTACAGGAACAGGGAAGAGATGGCAATATAAGAGGCCCAGGGATGAAAATGGGTATGGCACTATGACTGTGGATTAGAATTTAGAGATAAGAGATGAGAATAGGCTGACAAGGCAAGTGGGGGCTGGGCCTGGATGCAACCTTGTGGCCAACGAGAAACAGGGAAGACTCTACGCAGGGAAGGGACATTCACAATCTGAATGTAAGAAGGATTGCTGTGGACACTTCATGAAAAGTTAACTAAGGAGGGGCAAGAGTGAAAACAAGGCGGCCAGTGGGGAGGTCAAGGCAGAGGTTAGGGCAAGAGGTGATGGTGGCCTGGGCAGGGGGTAGCAGAAGGGATGGAGAGGAGGGGATGGACTAGAAGGCTGGTCAGAAGGGGAGACTGACCAACCTGGACACTGTGCTGCTGCAGCATGTTCTGGTAAGATGGCAGTGCACCCAGGACAGAGGGCTTCCCTGAGCTCTACCTACAGTTCCTCCCTGATGACACTTTCAGCCACAGCTAGACCCCATCCGAACATCTGAGCCTCAGTGATGGCCTGACGCCAAGGAGGTTCTGGGCAGCTGTGCTCTGCTCCAGGGGACAGACAGGGCTATTTTGAAAGCAGGCCAAGAACCCAGAGGCAGATGCCAGGCATTCCCCACAGGCCAAGTTAAGCTCATGGGCCCCACTTCAAAGACAGAATAGCATCTGTCCCTCACAAGCTCTGGAAAGGAGAGGTCAGCTTCTAATAGCCAATATGTTTGGCTCTTCACATGGCTTCTGTTCAAAGACAAGTTTTCCCAACACTCCCCTCACCCACTGCCCCTGCCATGCACATGTGCATCCACACACACACAACACGAACACACATACATGCAGAGAAATGTTTCAGTGCCTTGGTCTGAGGGACAAGTGAGTAATCTCTCAGGAGGTTCTGGCACAACAGTGCCTCTCTCGCGTGGCCATCAGGAAAGCAGTTTTCTTCCCTGGAGGACTTTGGAGATGATCCAGGGAGTTGAAAGGGGAGCTCCTGGACCCCATTCTCCACACACACTAGCCAGACCCTCCCTTAGCCACATCAATGATATCAACTGACTGTGAGCCCTAGATGTTCTAGTACCTCAAGCCAAGGTCGTTCCAAGATGAGGCCCAGGGGCTAGGATAGAAAACTATTTCAGGTCTCTCCACAAGCACTGGGCCTCCTGGTCACTACAAAGCTATTAGAAGCCTAGCAATAGAGGATCCAGCTAAATCCTCCCTCCTAATCACCAGTGATAGGAGGAGGATGGGGACATGACAGCAAGTAGTTCTCTTTGAAAGATGTCAAATGGGAGCAACTCTTTTATGAACTAGAAATAGAAGAATAATTTTATAACATGATGCTATATATACAAAACCAGCAACCAACTGCATACTTAGCAGTGAAATACCAGAGGAATTTCTAGGAAATGCAGGAACAAGACAAAGATGCCTACTGTAACAATGTTCTAGAAGTTCTGGGCAGTTCAACAAGGCAGTAAAAACAAATGAACTATAACTATTAGGAAGGAGAAAACAAAATTTTCCTTATCTGCAGGTGATGATACTATCTGGACAACCCAAGAGAATCAGCTAAAAACCAAAAGAGGAATAAGTGCGTTCAACAACTAGCTGTGATCTGCACAAGTTTCAGTTTCCTCATGGCTAAAATGAAGGTAATGACAGAGCCTGCTTAATAGACATAATAGTTAATATATGTCAGTCACTTAGAAGAGGGCCTGTCACACTTAAGAACTCAGTAAACATTAGCTATTACTGTGAAATATATTTTCACAATCAACAGTTTAGTATGTAATAGTAAACTAATATAATGTAACCAGCAAAAATATAATGAAAAACAAAGTGAAGTTACAATAACAAAAAAACCACCTAGGAATAAACAAGAAATGCGCAGGGCTTATATGAAGAAAATTTTAAAAGGTATGAATAAATGGAGAGATCTGGAGTGCTCGTGAACGAGAAGACTCAATGTTGTAAGGATGTTTGTTCTCCCCCAAGTCACTTTCTTTGCAATCCTAATCAGGAGTTCCACAGGATCCAGCTTGTCAGCACTCTGTGGCATACTTCCTAAAAAATCATCCACATACCAGCTTGCCAACCAGGTGAGCTGACACTTCTCACTGTGGACCTGTCCTGCTCCTGGCATGCCCTTATAACAGAACTTGGCAGTCCACATTAGTTCCCTCAATTTTCTTCCCCACCGGACCACAACCCCCAAGATCAAACTGAGTCTGTAGTACCTCCGTACCCTGAAGGTAGACACATGCTAGACATCAGCAAAGGTCAGCTGGATAAGCAAAAACTGCCCCATGGTACCAGGGATGAGTGACCCGAGAAGAAACTGCAAACACCTACTTTGGGTTTCGCGATCTCCTTGATCCTTTCAATTTCCTCATCAGACATGACATCGTAGTACCTGACGATGTGCGGGCTGTCCCACTCGTCCTCCTCTTTGAAGGGGGCAATGAGCAGCTGTGGTGTTCTGTTGCCATGATGATACCTACAGAAAAGCCTCTTCTGCCTCCGGGGTGTCTGAGAAGCACAGAAGAACAGGCCCTGAGCTGAGAGAGTCCTAACTCTCAGTTCTAGGCTGGCTGGCAGCAGACACTGGTCTCACACCCTATGTCCAGCAGCTGCTCCCTCCTGCCCCACCACAGAAGAAAATAAAAGCCCCTCAGCTTGACTGGCATGAAATGATACCCCACAAATCACAAAATATTTCTTCTCTCCCAAGAATACCTCATGTCCACAAGTCCTGTGGCAGAGAGTAATCCCTGACCCCTTCCACAGAAATGTGAAAAGGTCAGAAGCACTAGGGCAAGGGAAAAGCCTTTCCAGGTGGAGGAGCCAATGGGAGCCAAGCAGACATAGGCATGGAAAAGGCCGAGAGACTGCCCCACACCTCAGCCTCCTTGAGGAAGCACTGGGATCCCAGGCTCTAGCAACTACCATGTCTTTGCTACAGAGACGAGACTTCCCTTGGGGCCTGAGGCACATCCAACCCAGGTTTTCTTCACAACAGTGAGTCAAGCAGAGGCTGGGCACATTGGGGTCAGGTGGGGAGCTCAGTAATAACTTAGAGGACGAAACTCTATCCGGGGCATCAGGAGAGACAATCTCCTGCTTCACCTCAGAAAACACCCACATGTCAGCCTCAGCAGATGCTACAAAGAACTGGGGAAGATGCTGAAAAAATGACCTGCAGACAGAGGAACATCCTACCCAAATCTGTTGTCCAGAGCCAAAGTCTAGGTCCACAGCCTGGGCCCCTGACCCACCCACATGGCTCACCAGTTTGACACCCTCCCCACGACAGAGGCTCTCGTAGACATCCCTTTCGGGCAGGTAGTCCACAGGCCTCTCATAGATGCCTTCCTGGGTTGCTAGCTCAGCTTCTGTCTGATTTGATGATGGTTTTTCTCTTTCTTCCTCCAACAATCGTTCAAAGTACCGCAGATTCCCTCCAGCTCGTTCATGGCTCGGGTCTAGAAAAAGCAAAGAACAAGAAGGAAAAGGAAACCACAAACATCTGTTAGATCATTTAGAGAAATTATTCTGTAAGTGGTTTTCTCTTGTAGCAGTTCACTTGCACGCATCATTCTGCCTTTCACAGCACCTAACCAGGGTTCGCTGGTCAAAGGAGAAAAGTCAACAGAGGTTCTCCCTACTCTGGTCAGAGATGAGAGAGGAGCAAGAAGGGGATGCTTAGCCAGCCACTGAGGTGGCTCTCCTTTCAGTCCTCCCTGGAGGTCTCAAGGACGCAGGTCCAGAGAAGCAGCCGAGAGCCCTGCCTTCTCCTCCCAACTTGGCTGTGTGCCAGTTACATCTATCCTCCAGACTACATCCACTATTGGTGACCAGATTACATGCCAGCCACAGCTAGAAGGCAGGCTAAAAACTGGCAAAAAGAGCAGCCATGTGACACTGCCACAGCCTCATCTTGTCGGCCTCACAACATGCAGGAACAAGTTTGGCAGGATTACTGTGCCACTCCTCAGATAAGGAAACCAAGGCCCAAGGATGTTAAGAGATTTAGGTTAAGGTTATACAGAATAGGAATCCAGGTGTCCCGACTCCCTGTCCAAGGCTCTTACTAACACGACAGAATCTACAAAGCTCTCTTGCCACGTCAGTCTTGCAGGACACTCATAGATCAGCTGGCATCAGACTCAAGCCCCATAAAAAGCAGCAGCATAAGACAGTCTTTGCTGGTCTGTGAAATTACAGACCATGATATTCCCATATATCAGTAAGAGGTGGAACAGATGGGTTTTAAAGACACAGTGCTTTTGATCTCCTTCAGTCCAACACAAGACACTTAAAACACCAATGCCATGGTAAGTCCTACCAGTTAGACCTCGGGCCTCTAACTAATGGGTCAGGTCACTGTCACTGCAGCAAACTCGAAGTACAGCTTGCCTCTCAAGCTGCTCCTGACACAGTGAAAGCTCACTGTGCACAGTAGCAGATACACTGCAGCACTGGATTCCTATTAAAAAAGGAAGTGTGTAGGGCCACAGCTGCCACAGGCCTGAGTGTATCTACCAGTGACTGGGCAAGGGCGAAGGCCAGAAATGAGGTCGGTAAGGAGCTAGTTGGCAGCTGGATTGGGCCTGAAAGCAGTAAGGCCAGGTGACAGATAAGACTGGCTCAGTCCCAAGAGAGTGGCCATCAGAGCGACCAGTTCTCCTGCTAGTTCGCCATCCACATCTGACCTTCCCCGAGAACCTCCTCACCAAGGGAGAGTAGGCGGCGGGTAAGCTCCAGGGCGCGGTGCAGGTCGCCCAACTGGAAGACGGCGTAGCTCAGGTAGTCCAGCACCTGGGTCTTGGCTGTGGTGGCCTCCTCCCCAGCATCAAGCTGCTTTAGCACCTGCTCCATCCATAGCACTGTGTGGTAATAGTCCCCATCATTGTAGGCCGAGCGGCCCATCCCAAAGCAGTCATCCACACTCAGCACTGCCTGGTACTTGGTTCCTGCAGCAGAAGAGGCAAACAGTCAGGCTCCAAAGAGCCTCTAGGGAGAGTTAGGGAGAGAGATGCCCACATCAAGGAAGCCTAGGCCACTAGAAGGAGGTCATCATTCCAGAAAAGCTCCACCAGCACTTCAGACCACACACCTCAAAGGGCCATTGGTAGAGTGAGCACAGCCAGGCTGGCCCTGCCTTGGGCTGGGGTTCACAGCCAATCTCCTAGCCTCAGACTTCCCTTTTCCCAAGTGGGAAGGGGCATTTTTTACAGAGGAGCCCAGGAAGCCCACCAAGAAGTAGTACTCAGGAGAGTATGAAGGTTCTGTGAGCCACACAGGAGATGTCTGCTGGGCAGGGGGCCATGAGAGTCTGGAGGGTAGAAAAATTAGCTAAATATAAAAAATCAGAACTTAGGTGGCAGCTAAAGGCATGGATGAGGATAATCTCTTGCAGGAAGACTACAAGGAAAGACTAAAGAAGGTGGCTGAGGCCAGAGCCCCAGAGACCACCTACAGAGAAAAGACAGTGAGTGAATAACAGTGAGAAGGACCTAACAGGTAGAAGAAACAGAGGGAGCAGAACTGGTGTGACAGATGCCAAGGGAGACCAAGAGCCAAGAGAGCAGTGCCAACTTTGGCCGTTAGGTGGCGGGGACCTTGGTGAGCATCAGTTCAGCAGGTCCTGTGACCATAAGTCATCAGCAGTGGGCTCAGTGCTGCAAAGTAACCATGAAGATAGTTTCAGGTCAAAAAGAAGAAGGAGATGTGGTGTAAGATGATGGGGAGATGCAGGACTTAGGGTGGTGGCAAGGTAGGAGTCACCATAAGTATGTTTCTCAGAGAACAATGAGAAAGCAGGTCCCACGGAGAGCCAGGAAAGGCTGTGACCCTCCCTAGAAAGCAAGGGAGTCTCCCTACAACCCCAATAATAGCAACCTAGGCATTGCTGACATAGAAGAGCTGCCTCAGAGTGGTCTGCCTGATGTCCAGGATGGGGCTCTGTCCAGAACAAAACCCCTGCTGTAATGGGTTGGCTGCCTCAGAGACCAGGGTCTGCTGTGCCCTGATAGCTCAGGAACAGACAATGTGGGATAGGAAGTTGGGGAGAGTAAACACCAGATGGAGTCAGTAGGCAGGCCAGAGATTAGGGAGTTCCCTGAGCCCCTGTCCTCTCTCCAGAGGCGTCCCCAGATCTCCGCTGGCTCCTTAGGCCCAGGAACTTGCACTAATGGAGGCAGTATAACACAGCTGAGTGAGCTGGATAAAGCTGGGTCTGTGCAGGCCTCACTATGGACAAATTACTTAGCCTCGCTGAGCCTTAGTCACCTCACCCCTAAATAGAGATAATACCATCAATTGCGCCAAGAATTCAATGAGATGAGGTAGGAAAATGTTATCTATGATCCTCAGGATGCTAATAATCAGTAGCTATTATCAATACGTCTCAAAGATGCCAATGATGTCAAGAATGGCTCCCAGACACCCAGTATCCTCCCCAGAAGCCAACTCAAAAGTTTACCCCCTGGAGAGCACCAGCTGAGCTGAATGATGAAGGGCAATCACACAGGAAACCCAACTGATGTGGGTAAAGGTGTTCTTGTAGAGGGCGTCAGTTGAACAAAATAGCTAAGCGGTGGGGAAGCTTAGTACAATAGGCGAGGAGGCCAGGGAGATGGAGCCACACAGGACCTCAAAGATCACATCCAGGAGGAATTTGGGTTTAGCCCTAAAAGTTAAGCGTTATGATCAGGAACTCATGTAAACAGATATGTGCTTAAGACCAGATGGAGGAAGATTTTAAGAAGTGAACTGAAGGTAGACTATAAGTCAGAATGATATTTCAATAATCCAGTTGAGAAAGAAGTGACCATGAGGCTAGCATCAGGGCCTCCAAGTATGGAAGACATTAGGGAGGTAGAATCCACAGCCTTAGGACTCTGGCTTGGGGAGCCAGTAGATGGAGGTGCTTTTTGCTGAGACAAGAGGTGAGAGAGGAAGGTAGACAGTTCAAAAGGGGATGAGGATTTCAGTTTGGGACACGTGAATTTTGAGGAGCCCATGGAACATCCAAGTAGAGATGTCCCACAGGCATTTACCTACACTATTTGGAAGCTTAGGAGACAAGCCTTGACAGGAAACACAAATCTGGATGTCATCCACGTACAGGCTATACTTCAAGTACTGGAAATCGCTGAGCTCACCTGGAGAAAGCGCTAAGAGAGAACATGAGGTGGGGTTGGAATCCTGGGGAATAACTCCCTTCCACCCTTCATGGCCCCTCCAGAACATGCATGAGTCTGTTAACTGAAGGTAAGAGGTCAATGCCTGGGTGTGGCCCCCTCTTCCCACTAACCATTCTCACAGCTACAGGGTGAACAGATCTGGCAGGTACCTTCTCTCTCTGGACTCATGGTCTGGCTTGGTCCAAGACCTGACTGAGGCAGAATAAGGAGAAGTCTTCCTTCTGACTCACCAGACTCCTCAGTACCAGAGCTCCAGGCCCTGACCAGCCAACAACAGAGTGTCTCTTTCTCCTACATACCATGATTCCCTCTGCTTGTGCCTCCTCCAGGGTCCCCATGGGTGAGGTGGTATTCAAGGTCTAATGGAGTCTAACTGAATCCCTGGGTTTCTTGGCTTCTAATAGCCCCCAAACCTAAGGTATCTTCTTATAAACATACTGTGGTAGTCACTAGAAAGGCGTGTGTAAAACAATGAGAGAGAGGGGTATTGAAGAGAATCAGCTGAGATCAGTGTCCTAGAATTAAAAGGTGGGGAGAATATCAGGAAGAATGAGGCAACCAATGTGCCAAATGCTGTTAAAAAGTTAAAGAACATTATGCCTGAAACCTGTCCACTAGCTTTACCAGCCAAGTGGCCACTGGTGACCTTGCAGGGGCAGGACTGGTGGATGATAGGGAAAGAAGCAGTCTTTGTGTGTTTAGGAGGACATGGGAACCAAGAAAGTGGAGAAACAGTGTAGATGACTCTATCCAGCAGCCAAATGAGGAGGGAGAAGAGATCAAAAGGGCCTCGGATCCTGAGGGAGGGGTTTGCAAGATGAGTGAGAACAGAGCATATGTGTGAGCTCAGGAGGAATAGCCCAGAGAGGTGGACACAGAATGGACAGGGGCAGAGCCTGTAACTGAGGGCACACAGGACATGGGGCATTGAGTCCAGAGATCAGCCTTGGGCAAGAAGAAATCAGAGGGTGGGGGATGGAAGTGGGTCTGGACACAGATCTGAGTGGTGCTTCTGGGGGCAGAGGCTGAGGGGTGCTGAACAGCAGCCTTGGCTTTCACTGAGATGTGAGAGGAGATGGCATGGAGGAAGGCTGAGGGGCAGAGGCTGAGGGAAGGCAGGTGTCATGGGAATGGGGGACTGACACCAACTGGAAAACCGAGAGATCACCACCAGAGGTAATGGTGCACCCGAGGGTGCAGACCACAAGTCGGCTGGGGCTCCAACCCTATCCAGACACTGTACCAGACACACACACTGGACAGGCAAAACCTGGGGTGGGGAGTTACCTGGAAGTTCCCCTTTGGAAATTGTATCTGGGTCCAGCTTGTATGTGTCCTGAAGCCTCATCAGGGCCTTAGCAGCTCCCATTTCATCCTCATCAGTGGGAAAGAACTGGCGCTGCACTGAGAAGTTGGCAATAAAACCTTCCAAATGAGAGTGAGAACAAGAGGTTACCCTTGATCCAAGGGCAGAATTCCACCTGAGACCAGAGAGAGGCACCAGCTGGAGGGTCTCTGGCTAGTGAAACCTCCCTGCCCCTTCCCTCAAAGGCTGTTTCCCCTTCCTCCAGGAAACCTCCCTGATGGCTCCAGTCCATGGAGACCTCTCCTTTCTTACACCTCACTGTATTGACTGCCTGTGTTGCTCATTTAGAACTGAACAGAAAGAGCTCTACACACTGGTTAACATGTGGGAGTCTGGGAGTTTTGGCTCCAAAGCACTCTGTCAGACCTCGTAGAGACAGAAGGGACAAAGAGGGTTATTGGGAAGGAGACAGGAGAGGACTGAAGAAGGATGTACTGATCACTCAGTGGAAAATTAATCATCTAGAAAACCTTGATCCAGGATTATTGGGCTGGCCAGGTAAACACTGACTTCCAGCCCACATCTCAGGTTAAGGAGCCCAAGGGACAGAGGTGGTCAACTCAGGGAGCCCAGCTGGCCACTCATTACTGATCACTGGCCATTATTATAAAGAAAGGTGATGACAACAGTACTGGAAGCATTTGGTGCTGTCCCCACCTCCGGATTAGGGACTGGGGGACCACGTAGCCAGGCCAAGCATTGAGGTGGGACTGCACAAGCCCAGCATGGCTCCCTGAGAGATCACACTGGGCCTTGCTCTGCTTTCTAAGGTACTCCCACCCTTTAGACCTGCTACAAGTTCTGGGCATGAGCTCCCCGATTGTGGTGCTCAAGACCACAGCCTGGAGCCTAGAGAGTCCCTCATCACAGAAGCACCCAAGGAGGCTGTTCTGGGACTCCAAGCCCTAGCTGTGAAGCAAGATAAGCACCTCCCACAATCTCAGGACTCCAAGTGGGGACCAGGCCCTCCCATGCTGATTCACAGGCTTCAATTCTGCCTGTGAGCTGAGAAATGGGAGGGGAATCCCAAGGCTATTTCTTCTCTTGTCTCTTCCCCAGAGGAACAGTACGCATGGCCACCTACTCTCATGACCTCAGGCTCAAACACCCACTTCTAACTATGCCTGGGGACCCAGGGACCAAGAAGCTGCAACCCTGTCTTCTTTATGGCTGCATGGTCAGGGACTCTACCAATTTAGAATCTAGGAAAAAGAAAACATGCCCTTAGAAAAAGCCACACTGTCAGCGTGTCCCTCTCATTTCAGGGGCAAGAACTCTCAAAGTCAGAGGCAAAAACAACCTATTGCTCTCTGGACCCATCCTGTCTCCCTCCAGATAATTATAAGGTTTTCCAAAGGAACCAGATGTTGACAGGGGGGTGGGGTGTGGAGAACAAGACTGGAGAGTGGGAAGTCATCTGGGCAGGCTTATTCTCCAATAGGGCAGGCAAAATAGCCAGTTCTGAACTCCAGGCCCAGGCTGGGAGACAGTGGTCTGGGAAAGGCAGGCCATAGCTTCTGGAGGCAGTGAGCTCACCAGGCATATGTCCAGCTCAGCTGAGCTCACCAATCCCTCCCCAGAGGCCACCCTGCCCCCAGCCAAGCCCAGCCCAGTCTGGCCACATGAGCTGAAATGCCTCAGCCAGAGAGACAACTAGTCTGAAGTTAATCAGCACTCTCAACCTAGGAAGAAGAGGCAGTGAGTCCAGGGGGCTGAGCCCAGGGCTGGAAGTCAGGAGGACCCACCTCCATGCCTGTTCCACCATCTCCTGTTGAGAGGAAAATGTTAGAGCATAGAAAGTACTACCACAGTAAAAGCACCAAGCACAGTTAAAGCTTTAAAAAAGTTCATACGCTGACCTGCCAACATTTTCTTAGGAAAAATTCCTAGAAGTGGTAATCAGAGGTGGGCACCAAGATGTATGTGCAAAACTGCTGAAAATTTGGAAATTCATGTCTACTGACTTGACCACTTTTATGCTATATCGGTATAACATATTACTGTCCAGCCATTAAAATCATGTTGCAGAAGAACATTTAATGGACATATGGAGAAGCTGGAAAATTCAGGAAAAGAGTACATGCTATGTCACAAATCTGCTGACAGATTTTTTTTTTCTAAAATATACAAATGGGAATGAATTTAGATAAAGTCGATGCTCCCCAGCTTGTACTGACCCCATTACCCAGCCCACTTAACTCATTTTTGTTAATTCATTTGGTCGCTCAAAGCAAGTGGGTTTGCATGCCCTGGTATATTTGTATGGTTCCTTTTTTCTTTTTTTTTAATGAATATGCATGTGTAGAAAGACTGAATCTTAATAGTGCTTATCACAACCTGGATTAAGAATTGCAATTTTCTTACATCATTATTTTTTTTTTCCTATTTTTCTATAAAACATATTACAAAAGTGTAATTAGAAAAAAATCACTGCCAAAGAAAGGGAAACACACTAGAAAAGCTAAGAACTGACTATTATTACATATTAAAAAACAAGGACAGCCAATTGCCAGGTCCCCAGAGAAAGGAAAGAGCCATGAGACAGCAGGGTCCATGTTCACATACTGCACATGCCCACCAACACCCAGACCCAGGACAGGCTCAGACACACACTTCCCAGGTGTGAGCACACAAACATACAGGCTTATCCAAGCACCTATTCACCAGCCCTCACCTGCAGCTGAGTCCTGCAGGACAAGGTCCTCCAGTGCAGGCCAGTCTGTATTCAGGCGCTTCACCAGTTTGTAGGCATTCACAGGGTGGGCCAGGTAGCCCTCTGGGTCAGCAGCTGACTTGCTGGTCAGGGCTTCCATTTTGTCAGCCCAGCTGTGGAACCAGAGGAAAAGGAAGACTAATACACTCACCCACAAGAGTCTTGACTTGTGTTAATTTCCCTGTTAAGATTCAGGACTCTTTTCAACAAGAGGCAATAAAGAAACAAAAAATGAATACAGGGGCCGGCCCAGTGGTGCAGCAGTTAACTGCAGACGTTCTGCTTCGGCGGCCCGGGGCTCACGGGTTCAGATCCCGGGTGCGGACATGGCACCGCCTGGCAAGCCATGCTGTGGTAGCATGTGGTAATTTATATGTGTCCCACATATAAATTAGAGGAAGATGGACACAGATGTTAGCTCAGGGCCAGCCTTCCCCAGCAAAAAGAAGAGGACTGGCAGCAGATGTTAGCTTAGGGCTAATCTCCACTCCCCCCACAGCAAAAAAAAGAATACAGTAATTCCCCACAGTTACTTCCAGACCCTTGATTTAGATAAGAGCTAGGAACCCTAATGTATGCAAAAAGTCTCTTAAATAGAAAGGAAAAAGCAGTGAGTGCTTAGCCCATGTATTTAGTCACTCTGGAGGACTGGCATCAAGTAACCTGGAGGCCAGCCCCATAATGCCTTTTTAAAGGCTTCCTTTTATAGGTACCCTGGATGGGTTCCAGTGCAGGCAGGAGGACTGACTCAGGGTGGGTGTGGGGACATAGGATGACAGACACCTCTTAATCTTGGAGAGCTTGGCTTCCTCCACAAGGATGTACTCCTTCAGAGACTGCACCAGGTCCTTCTCTGCATAAATCAGGTCTGTCATGTGCCCTGCAAGGGAGAGAAGGGCCAGAGAGAAATGAGTGAGGGATGTCCAGTCCCCTTCCTCGGGGCACAGAACACCAGGATAGAGGCAAGTCCCCTGGGCCAAGGGCATACCAGTTCTCTTGGGATGGTGGGGACTTGGAGTTAAAGAGAGCCTAGACACTCACATGGTTCTGGCCTCCAGCTTCAGGAAGAGAGAGGTAGAGGCTCCAAGGGGAGGTGGAGATAAGTGCACTGGAGACACCTTAAGGAGGAAGCCCCAAATCTCATTCTCCCACTGTCACCCAGCTGGGTCATGCCACTGGGGCATGGACATCCTGGAGGCATCATGACATGGAAACAAGCTCTGAGACTTTGTCAGAAGAAGAGCAGTTGGATCCACTGGCCACAGAGTGTTCTCTGCTCAGAACCACTCTGATCCAGGAGAAAGATAGTCAGAAAAGAACAACCTGAACTCCCCAGGGGGTGGTCCCAATTGAGACAACTGGCTCCTAGGAGATCCAGGTCATCAGGGCCTCAGAAGGGGAGAAAGCAACTCTGCAACTCCCACTCTCCCCAGAACTGGTCAAAAGTCGTGGGTGAGGTCAGTCCATCCTAAATGAGAACAGGCCTTGGGCAGTGACATCCCCTGGCACTTAAGCCCAAGATTGCTCAGGTAGATAACAATCCTGTCACCACATACCAATAGAAGTGAAGAATTCGGCCTGCACGCAGCCCAGGACACCAAACCAGGCCACCAGCAACACGGACACCCGGAATTTCATGGTCACAGAGGGCAGTGTCTGCAAGGTATTCAGTGACTGTCACTGGATCAACAGTGAAAAAATGCAACTTAGGTGAGGAAAAACGTAACATGTGCACACGCAAACACAGATTCAAACATGCCAAAATCCTGACCTAGCACACAGAAGCTAAGAAAGACATTCAGGATCAACAGTGGCAAGCACAGGGAGTGGAACCAGTGATCTGTGCTCAATTCTGGCCCCTGCTCTAGGGGGCCACATGCCTTTGGGAAAGAGTCTGCCCTCTCAACTCCTGGTAACCACTGGCAAACATGGGAAGGCTGAATTGCGTGGGGGACAATCACCCCTGGTTCTAATAGTCTGTCAGTCCAAGATTCTAGCCCACTCCTCATTTCACAGACTGCTTGTCTGTTCCTATCTTTCCTTCCAACACATGTGCCAGGACAGTGCCAGCCACTGGGGACCCAGATGTAACACGGATCCCCTGCCCACAAGAAGGTTGACAGTACAGGAGAAACAATGACAGAAAAAGTTGGGATAATATGCTCCAGAGGACCCACACCCAAAAAGAGGTGGGCAGCAAATGGTCAGCCAGAAGAGGAATAAAACTGCCCCCTGCCAGTCTGTACCTAGCCACAGCGAGAGCAGTCTGAGGAGTGGACACTCTGAGCAGACACTGCTCTTCCTGTTGTGAGGCTCCTTGGCAGACACTCTCCTCACTGGCGAGTCACCATTCACAAATATTTACCAAAGACCTACATACACCATGCACTGAGCTAGGCACTCAGGATACAAAAATGAATCAGCTTCTCAGGGCCAAAACCTCGGGCTGAGCTGGGTTGCTGACATGGGTAAGAGGCCAGTGGCTGTCTTCTCATCAGCCTAGAAATAGTCAGACCCAGCTCTGAAGGCAGCAGGCACAACCTGGGGCAAGCCCTGCTGGCAGTGGACCTAAGCATACAACAGAAGCTTGAGACATCGTCTCCCAGCACAGCCACGCAGCCCAGAGCATGCTGGAGGACCAGCAGCTACCTAAGCCCAAGCTCTGCCAGTCCTTCCTCCTCCTGCTCTAGGTCAGACAGGCCCAGTGGAAATTTACTAGGAGAAAACAAGGAAAATAAAGGAAATACAAACGTTTCCCCCCCAAAATGTATGTCTCATCTGACAATTCTAAGTCTGAGCTGACTAATGCCAATTCATCCATTTTTTTGCCTATTAAGGTCGATTAGACACAGTCACAGCCCCCATTCCTCACCTCGTCCTTTCAGGAGAAATTCCAATCTACTGTAGTCGCAGGAGAGGCTCAGAGAAGTCCAACCACAACTCCCACCCCCAAACCAGTTTCATATCAGGAAGAGGAGAGAATAAGTGAATGACCCCATTTGTTCAAGTCCCTGACAAGCGTGGACAGAGCCAGCAGCATGCCCCTCAGTGCCCTAGGGGTTAGGGGCCCAGAGATACAGAAGACAAGATCTTTCAGCCCAGAACCTGCTGCAGGGTCAGGAGCACTGGGTTAAGGGATCCATTATGGAGTTAGGGAAGCAAAGGAAAGCAAGTCTCAAAGAAGGTGAGCAGGCCCAGGCTAGCCCTGAGGTGGAGCCCTAGTCCTCCTTGTTCCAGCCCCACGTCATTCCAAGGCCTCACCCTACTGCATCTCCACCCCAAGATTCCAGAAGGCCTCTCTGCTTGCTTACACAGCCTCTTTCACAGGGGATGGTGTCTGTTCCTTCTATCTCAAGAGGCTTGACTAGCTGAGAGAGCACCTTCTGTACGTGTGTAGGGAGGGGCAGTAAAAACCCAGGGCTAGGAAGCGATATCTGTGGACAGTGAAGCACCAGCCAACTGCCTGTCAGACTGGGGTAGTGGGAGAGCAGGGCCCAGGCAGGAGACCAGACCAGACATGGATGGAAGTAGTGGCCCTAGCACTTTTCCCCTGTTGTGTCATCAATTGAAATGGCATATCTCTTCACAGATCAGGTAACAAATTCAAGCGAGGGAGAAGCCTCTCTGTTCCTTTTAAGTCACCCTGGTGATACTGTCCACAGTTCATGCCTTACAGCACTCAGAAAAAAGCTGCCAGGTTCCTTCATTACATGAACACCAGCTGTCATTTCTCTGGAATGTGCTATCTGGCTTAGACAGAGCCCATCCACGAATCCCAGCCTGGAGGCAGAGCCCCAAAGAATCACAGAAGAGGTTCTGGGAAATGGCTTACCAAGAGCCTGCAAAATCCTGCTCTGATGGAGGAAGGGGAGGATGACTCTGCTGGCCCAGAGAGGTAGGTACCCTGAGCAGCCCCAGACTGCCACATTCAACACTGCCACCCCAGGCAGGGGTGCCTTAGAGCCTCACCCTATTTCTCCTGATTCTGGGCCCCTGAACACTTATACAAAAGATCACCTAATCAGGGCCAGACTGCAAGAACGCAGTGTTCAAGAGGTGACTGTGTCATACAGTGCAGGAAAGGCCAACCACCTACATGCCCCCCCATCCCATCTCATACCTATACCCAGAGCTTGCTTAGGACAGAGTAGGTGGGAGTATGTGAGCCTGCCCTCACAAAGTATTCATTGCTGCTGAAAGTCCTGCCAGGAAACCTCAGAAATCCACGCTGAATAGGCCTGGAAACGGGCAATGTTGAACCTCCTTTTATGAAAAACAAAGTGACACCAAGCCTGAGCAGAAAACCAATATTAAGTTTTATCTGAGCAACATCCTGAGTTTAGAACAATGTCTGGCCCATATCAGGCACCCAACAAATAATACTTCAACACAGACTTATTCAAGTTAGGAAACTACAACAACTGAAAATTTTACATTTCTTCCATACAACGGATTGTTATGGATCATGCAAGAATGGATACCGGGGCCAGCTCCATGGCTAAGTGGTTAAGTTCACACGCTCTGCTTCGGCAGCCCAGGGTTTCACGGGTCCAGATCCTGGGCAAGGACCTAGCACCTCTCACCAAGCCGTGCGGAGCCGGCATCGCACATAGCAGAGCCAGAAGGACCTACAATTAGAATATACAACTATGTAAAGGGAGGCTTTGGGGAGAAGGAGGAAAAAACAAGAGAGAGAGAGAAGATTGGCAACAGATTTTAACTCAAGTGCCAATCTTTTGAAAAGAAAAAGAATGGATACTGTATGCATACGAACATGGAGAAAAGATGAAAGCATACTGTTAAATGAGAAGAGCAGGCTCCCAAATGTACTCCATGATTTCATTTTTACAAGGAAAAACTTATATGTATATGCATATATATACACATGTATATACACAAGAAGAGAGTCATGCATCTGGTTATATCTTGGCAGAATAATTTTTTCTCTTTATACTTATTTGTATTTCCTGACATTTCTACAAAGAGTTCTATGTGAAATTTAAAATATATTTTATATTGGGGCTAGCCCGGTGACGCAGCGGTTAAGTTCGCACGATCAACTTCAGCAGCCCAGGGTTCCCCGGTTCGGATCCCAGGTGCGGACATGGCACCACTTGGCACTTACCATGCTGTGGTAGGCATCCCACATATAAAATAGAGGAAGATGGGCACAGATGTTAGCTCAAGGCCAGCCTTCCTCAGCAAAAAGAGGAGGATTGGCAGCAGTTAGCTCAGGGCTAATCTTCCTCAAAAAATAAATTAATTAAATAAAATATATTTTATAATATGCTTAAAATGAAAAGAAAACAAAGAAGGCCCTCTCAAATGGACTCCAAAGCAGCCCCAGCAGCCAGAGTTTGGATCACCACAGGGAGGTCCTCCGAAGCCTGCCAACAAGCCAGCAACAGTGATTCACCCACCAGGTGACCGGCACTGTTTCTAAGCATAGGGCAATTCCAAGACACACAATCAGAGGCCCCAACAAGCCTGCTCTTTGGAAAGGACATTTACAACCTGGCCAAATGGCCATGAAAAGATGTTTCCAGCTGCAAACCAGCAGTGTCCTTAGCTTCTCCCCTACCTCATCAGGCAGGAACTTCTGCCAAGCTCCCAGCTGCAACCCAAATGCAACAGCTTGAGTTTTAACAATGCATTTAACAGCCTAGAGACAGAACATGGGTTTGCTGAGAACAAACAAGTCTTGCTTGGCAGTTACAAGAGGTGGCCTGCCTTCTGTGAAGGGGCAAAACCTGCCTGCACAGGGCTCCCCCCAGCGGCCCTGCTTCTCAGTGGTGTGGCCAAATCTGGTATGGCAGAGCCAAGAGGATCTGTGTGCTCAACCCAGGAGGAATTGTGCAGAGGATCCAGGAGACCTTGCCACCTAAGCACATGGATGTTCATTCAGGTCCACAAGCAGCTGTCACTGGCACCCCAGGAAAAGATGGGAGGCACCCAACTCTCCTTACCTGATATCATGCCTCAGTCATCATCCTGGTCGGAGTCATCACACCTAATTCCCTCCTGCAGCCATCCTGGCTCCTGTGTGCACTGGTCTCTCATCTCACCTCCCTCCCAGCTCTGCTCTACAAAGTGGCCAGCATGGCTCACTACAGACCCTCGTTTGGTCTCTTTCTCCCTAAGAACCCTCGAAAGGCTCTCCACTGCCCTCAGGATAAAGTCCAAACTCCTTAGTCCTAAGGGCCTTTTTGACTCTGCATGACCTGGCCCTACCACCCTCTCCAGCACTCTCTCATGACTCCAGGTTTCATATCTTCAACGACTACCTCACATGAAAAATATTCTCCTTCACTGAGAACCTAATGAAGCCTAGATGTTCATCTGTATCTATCCTTATACTTTCCCTAGCTGGTACATGAAAATGTTGATTTGTACTTCCCACATGGGTACCATCAAAACCACAAAGTCTCCTGCTTCAGTAACTAGGCAATGAAGTAGCAGAGAAGGCTGTAAACAATGACATGCAAAAGCCACATTGGGTTTTCAGTCACAGTCTTGGCAGAGACTTGGCAGTCTAGGTGAGACTAATTCACAAGAAGGAAGTACACACGAGGACGAAATCCACACACCACCATATTAGATGCATCTGATGTACACCACCTCATACTCTCTTGGCCTCACCTGTCTCCTGGGCCCTGGGCCACTTCCTCTGGCTCAGACCCAGGAGAGGAGGCTGTGCAGACCCCAAATCTGTGGCTCCTCCCACTACTTCCATACTCCAGCGAGGTGCCACACAGGCCTCCCCAGTGACTTCTGGAGGGCCCTGGTAGTACAACAGAGGAGTAAGGGGGAGTTAACGTCTCACGAGGCAACTCTGACCAATGAAGAACAGAAGACAAGAGGACGTCAGCAGATAAATTCCCTCCTCAGGCCTCCACTAAGAAACTGCTCTGTGGCATGGAGTTTCTGTAGAGCTTGCCCAGAGATGTCCTGTACAGCTGAACAACCAGTGTATCACTATGCAGACTGGCCAGCTTGCTAAAGCACCACCTTTTATTTGCTTCCTATCCTTCTCTACCTCATTTTTCGTTTGCCTTTCCCTTGCTGCCCTGCAATTGCACCTTCAATAAAGCATTAAGCACTTAAGCTCTGCCTTGGGCTCTGTTTTCTGGGAACTAGGCTAAGATAACCACTATTTATGTTTCCAAAAATCTTTCATTTCTACCATCTAATCCTCATCAAAACCTTGTAAACTAGATAATTATCTCCATTTCAGATATAAATATATAAGATAGGTAACTGAGGCTGAGAGAGGGTTTCCTGCACACTTGACATGCTACAACAAATCAATGGCAGAACCAAGACTCAAATCCAAAACATACTTGCCACTAGAATTGCTGCCATTCAGTCCTACTCAGTCACATCTGCTGTCTTACAGCACAAGGGCCTCCCAAAAGGAGGAGTCTCATTTTGCCTGTCTAGGTCAAAGACTTTATGGTGGTTCACAAAGCCGCTTCACGACATCCATGGCTAGAGGGCACCAGAAGGCAGACAGCAACATGGACCCAGAAGACAGGAAAGATGGTGCCTCGAGTTCAGGTGAGCAGTCACTCCTGCACCAGACATCACAGTACTCACCAATGACCAACCAGACTAGCTCAGGGCAAGGCAACACAGTCCAGTAGGCAAGCACATCCACCCTGGGGTCAGACAGTCCCAGAGTTAAATCTCAGCTCCACCATCACTTCCTGGCTTTTGTGACCTTACACAAATTACAAGTCTCTCTGAGCCTCAGTTTTCCCATCTATATAATGGTGATAATATTAGGACCTACATCTTATAGGGCTCTTGTAAGGATTGAATGAGATGACAGATGTCAGTGGGCAGCCCAGTGCCAGGCACAACTTATACCAGTCACTAGCACCAAGAGTACTGGAGGAACATCAGTAGATCTAAAGCGGCCAGCTGCCCAGCTAATCCCTGGAGAGGAAGAAGGTCCAGTCTAGGGGACAGTGAAAAGGAAAGCAAGGCATAAATTGGGCAAGCTCCACATTCCAGGAGTGCCCAAAAAGATGAAACATAAACTTAGAAGACAGTACGGTCAGGCATAATGCAGCACACTGACCATCGGGAAATAACCCTGGAACTGGGCATCACTGGCTCTGAAGTTCACCAATGAAGAAAAGTTCTCTTGCAAAAGGCTGGGCACTGGACCAATACTGTAGGATTTCTATGCCTGTAATCTGCTCTCTCTAAGTTCCTACAAGTACCACCCTCAGGATCTTGGCCGCACCCTGGCGCTCAGGAGTGCCAGGTACAGAGCAGGCTACATTCTAGCAAGCACTTCCTGAAAGGTATAGAGCAGATGCTGGTCTGTGACCAAGGCTCAGACAGATCCTTTCTGAGCTGGAGAACGCACTACCCAAACATTTAATTCTCTGCCATACAATGATACCATTTGAATAAAAACTGTCTCCTAGGACTCCAAGAAGTCTAGCCGACTTTTCATTCCCCTCTGTTCCTCGTGAGAATAAAAACTATATCCCTCATTCCATATCCCCAGCACAAACCCGAGACCACAGGAGCCACCGGCCCTCTCTGCTCTAGGACAGGCTGATGTTCCACCCTGGGGCACTTCAAAAGCCCAAATTGCTAGATTCGAGCAACTTTTTCAAAATTTAACTCTTGCTCCAGCATTCCGTCTGGGCTTGCACGTGTCTGCATCACTGCATTTCCTGCCAAACTCCATCTGCATAAAATTAAACTCTTGACAGATCCCAGGAGCCAAGGACACACCCACCAGCCCAATGCACACTATCAGCCAGCAGGGCCATAAATCGGCCAAAGTCTCGCAGCCAGCCTCAGACCCTCCCAAGGATGTGGGAGGGCAGAGTCAAAAAGGGAGGTTCTATCAGGAAATGAATAGATCCCAGATTCCTTCACCCAAATCATCCCTCAGGGCTGCACCCACGCAGTCTCTCCTTCTGATAAGCACTCACACTCTGAGCTCCTCCCCTAGCTCATGGCAAGCTGCCAATGTGAAGCAGCAATCTCAGAGAGATTATGAGCTAGCCAAGGGCAAGGACAGCACCTCCTCCTCTCCCTCCTTCCTCATTCCAGCCCCAGGCACACTCTAAGCAGAAGCCAGGCACACAGGAGGTACTCAAGGAATGAACAGAGATCAGCTCTGGCCAAGCTAAACCAGTGGCAAAGTAAGCACTCTCCCAGGCACCCCATTTCAGAGCCTGTGACAGGGTAAAAGGGCCTATCACAGGCCACAGACAATGCCTAGTCATCAAGCATGTCTGCCTGCTGAGCTCTCAAGAGAACTAGAGTGGCCCAGTATGACAGCATCTCTGGGATAAGGCCCCCAGCCAACTCACTCCATCCTTGCTACGTGGCTTCCTTGGCTGTCAGAGAAAAAGAAGGCCCCAGAAGAAAAGGATTCAAAGCCCAAACACATGAGGAGAAGTAAACAGAGAGGCTGGGCCCTGAAGCCCAGAACTACAGTGAAAGACTGCACCCTGGACACTTCAGGAGCAGTTTAAGCACAAGACAAAGGACGTTTAACAGAGAACTAAATCACGGAACCTGTTGCCCCAGATGTGATACAGGCTAAAAGGCAGCAGCCTGCGAGAACATTCTATAAATTATCAGGTGGAGAGTGGATCTCTGCAAAATCTGGGACATTTGACAATGCCCTCACTACAAAGTGATGTCCCCCAACCCTTGCTCTCAGGGCCAGGATCTCCTGCAAGAGAGCTGAGGCTGTCAGGCCTCAGATGGTTTACATCAAGAAGCACAAGCCTTAGGTGTCACTCTACAGTGGAAGACACTTAAGACTAGTCTCAGTCTTGGGACGGACTCTAATGTTCTTCTACACCATCTTAAAGGTATCAGATTAGAATACGGAGGCCAGGGGCCCACCTATGCTGTGCCGAAGTAGGAAGTGCCCTGATCCACACTCATGCTGCAAGGGTTCACTGAGCACCCTCCACACGCAGGGCACAGTACCAGGTACTGTCCTCTCACTTGAAGCTCCTGTGCACAGGTCCATGGGCAGCTATCCTCTGAGGTGTCCCTTCTCCCACTACCTTGCTTCCACTAGAGTGCCCAGGTCTGCTGCCATTCACACAGGCTGTGCCTCTCTCTAGGTTATCCTTTATTCAGCCTTCATCTGACCACTCCAGCTCATGGGTTACCTCCTCCCGGAAACCCTCTGGCCTGAAGCATCCTGTCCTCTACTAAGTATCCACAGCCCGGGGCTCCCTCCCAACACATCACTCACCACACTGCCTGGGGCCTGGACTTTCCCGGTCTTCCAGTCCGTCTGCCCCACTTGGGCTAGCAATTCTTTGCAGTTTCTGACACACAGAAGGGTCCGTTTGTTGGATTAGTTAACTAGTTACCACAGGTCTCTGCAGCTGCTGAGGAAAAACCACCCTGGTTCGAAAGGGATGTCTGGAGGGAAAAAAACTTTCTCACCCAACAGCCCGTCTTTATGGGCACCAAGCTGGACCCTGCCCGGACAAGGCCACAGACTCGCAGTCCTTTGGAGAGAGGAAAGTGGACCTCACTAACATTAAGCGGCCCCTCAGGGCCTGCCCCCCCCGCCCCCCCCAACCCCCGACCCGGCCGCCACGCTCCGGCAGCCCCCGAGGCCAGGCCGTCCTTCCCGGGAGCCTGACATGGCAGGGCGGCCAAGTTCCCGGGCCGGCGCGGCCGCCGAGGGGACCGGCAGGAAGGGCGCCGCTGACCTCACCACCCTGAGCTCGGGGAGGGGACGCAGGCGACAGGACAGGAACCCAGATGGGTGTAGACACGGGGCGGAGAGCGCGGGGCTGCGGGCGGCGCGACCCCCGACCCCGCGACCCCAGCCCGCACCCGAGCCCCGCGGCGGAGCGGCGGCGGAGCAGGCGGGGCGCTCACCTGGACACGCGCCGCTCCCGGCGTTTCCAGAACCTCCCGCGGCGGTGCCCGGCCCGCTGGCGCCTCCTCCTTCGGCGGCTCCGCCTCCCTCCGCCGCCCGGCTCCGCCTGCTTGAGCCGCCGCCACGTCCCCACCTCCCGCGCCCCGGCCGCCTCGGCCCGGCCCTGGCTCAGCGCCCGGAGAGTCTCCGCCCGGGGTCGCCACCGCCAGCGACCCTGGGAAGGTTCAGGCCGCCCGACCGCGGGGGAGCCGGGAGGCCGCCTCAGGCCGGGGGGAAGCCGGCTGCCCGCGCCCTTCATGCCGCCCGCCGCTCCCCGCACGTACGCCGCGCGCCTCCCCTCGCCCGGCTCCCACCTGGGGGACTCGCCCCGCCCTGCTCCCAGTCCCTGGGCGGCGGGAGAAGGGCCCACGACGCGCTCCTGGCGCCAGTGCTGTGGGAGGGAGAGTCCCCAAATGCTGACGGACTCCTCCGGCCTCCCTTCATGCCCATTTCCTCGGTGGTTCTGCCGTGTATACGGGCTCCTACTGCCCCCTCCCCACCCTCACTACCCTCAGGTTACAGAGGGGTGCGATTACCCTGGCCAGGAGCCGAGGTGTCACGGGAGGGGACAGACCTTGGAGAAGGCCCTGAAGAAGACTAGGGACCTGGGGTCCCCCGCCCCCCAGGGCCAAGCTCCCAAAGGGATTCAGACTGCCCCCAGCTCCTCAGTCAGGAGCTCATTCTGGTGATGTATGTGTGGGTGATGGGTTGATGAGAAGGGAGCCCATCAAAGAGTTGGGGGGTGGAGGAGTGCACATGGGGGCCAAGCCCTGGTTTGCCCAAACTCTTCCATACAACACTGGCCGAAGACAGTAGAGAACTCATTCAGCCAGTCCATTCTGGGAGGATGTAGCAAACCTCAGCCTGAGCTGGAGGAGGCACTGGCGGCCAAGCAGGTTCCCACGCCTGCTCTGTGAACCTTCCTGGTCATGAATGAGGGGAAACACGTCTGAGAATCTCATCAGGGAGCTAGCCCAGAGTGGGAGGTGCCCAGCCTCCGCCCAAGCCGTGTAGGGATATTCCCTATGGCACACTGTCCAGGCTGGCAGCCCAGACCTGGGGAAGGCACGAGCGCAACTAGAGAAATACGACACACATAAAATAGGAAGGAGCCACTGTTCCGGCCTGTGTCAGCCACCAGCCAGAACTCAACTAAAACCAAACAGAAACCTTCCTGCATCTGCTACATCCTGTCATGCCACAGGAGCCTCCCTCTGTCTGCCCAGATCCTCCCATCCTCTCCCCCTTCTCAAGAGCTTGCCCTGTAGATCATCCCTTTTCTCTCCTGAATGTTCAACCTCCCTTTCTCAGCTGGATCCGTCCCTCCATCTACAGTAGTCCCCCTTATCGGCAGTTTTGCTTTCTGAGGTTTCTGTTACCCGTGGTCAACCCCTGTCCAAAAATATTAAACGGAAAATTTAAAAAAAAGCAATTCATAAGTTTTAAATTGTGTGCCACTCTGAGTAGTGTGAATGAAATATCTTGCTGTCCTGCTCCATCCTACCTGGGAAATAAATCATCCCTTTGTCCAGCATTATCTTTGTCCGCTGTATCTCCTACCTGCCCATTAGTCACTTAGTAGCCATCTCAGTTATCAGATGGAGTGTAGAGGTGTAGTAGTGCTTGTGTTCAAGTACCCTTATTTTACTTAACAATGGCCTCAAAGCGAAAGAGTAGAGATGCTGGCAATTTGAATATGCCAGAGAAAAGTCATAAAGTGCTTCCTTTAAGTGAAAAGGTGAAAGTTTTCAGTTAATAAGGAAAGAAAAAAAATTGCTGAGATTGCTAAGATCTATGGTAACTTTCATTACAATATATTGTTATAATTATTCTATTATTATTGTTATTAATCTCTTACTATGCCTAATTTATAAATTAAACTTTATCATAGGTGTGTGTGTATAGGAAAAAGTGTATATATATGTGGTATGTATAGGGTTCGGTACTCTCCAAGATTTAAGACATCCACTGGAGGTCTTGGGAGGTATCCCCTTGCAGATAAGGGGGTACTACTGTATAAATATGTGCAAGCCTATACTATGGCAACAAAACCCTCCTTCAAACCCACCAGCAATTGCAGTGTCTCTCTCCTTCTCAACCACAGCAAAATTCCCTGAAAGAGGTGTCTATCTCCTTGTACTCATCTCCTTCCTGCCCCTCAGGCCCCTGCAATGGGCCTTCTGGCCCCCTCACACCACCAAACTGGATCTCAATAAACTGTCTATAAGCTCCAAGCCTCAATTTGACAGCCACTCTTCAGTCCTCATCTGCCGAAGCCCCCAGCAGCGGTTGACACCCTAGCATCGTTTGATCACTGCCTCCCTGGAACACTCATTTCCCTTGGTTTCTAGCATTCTCTCTGGCCACCTCTGCCCAGGCCCCGCAGCACATCCTCCTCTCTCCCTCTCCTTGTTACTCAGTAAAGGTAGAGGGTTCCTCAAAGCAGGCCTAGGCACTCACTTTCCTCTTCCCTTTCTATAATTTCTTCCTGTACACAGATGACTCACAAGTTTCTCTCTCTACCTGCCTTGACTCTGAGCTCCAGACTCATATAACTGACCGCTGAGTCTACATCTCCACTTGAGTGTCCGCAAGCACCTCAATCACAACATGTCCAACACTGAGTTCGTGCTCTCTCCCTGCTGCCCTGCACCTCCCTTATCCCTGCTTCATTGAAGGAGCCGTCCCTCATCAGTTAACTAACCAGAAGCCTGGGACTCATACTTCCCTCTGCCTCACCCTTGGACCCTATCCTTCCATATCCCATGTCCATTTAATTCTACCACCTAAATCCCTCTCAAATCCATCCATTTCTCTCCATCCTCTTTCACTTGAATGATTGCAACAGTTTCCTGACTGGCTGGCCCCACCTCCATTTTTACTCCCCCCGTCTCTCCTCCACCCTGCAGCCACAGTGATCTCAAAAATGCAAATCTGAAACCCATCACTCTCAGCTTAGTAAAGTGCATTGTTCTTAGGAAAAATCCTAAAAATGGTCTGTAATGCCCCACATGGTGTGGCCCTCGCTCTCTTCTCTAGCCACACTGACCTTCATCCAGTCTCTCTCATTGGCCATTCTCCCTTCCCAGCCCACTCCTAAGCCTTTACACATGCTGTTCCTTCTGTCTAGAAAATTTTCTCAGGGCCGGCCCCGTGGCCGAGTGGTTAAGTTCGTGCGCTCTGCTGCGGCAGCCCAGGGTTTCGCTGGTTTGGATCCTGGGCACGGACTTGGCACCGCTCATCAGGCCACTCTGAGGCAGCATCCCATGTGCCACAACTAGAAGAACCCACAACTAAAATATACAGCTACGTACTGGGGGGATTTGGGGAGAAAAAGCAGAAAGAAAAAAAAGAAAGAAAGAAAAGAAGATTGGCAACAGTTGTTAGCTCAGGTGCCAATCTTGAAAAAAAGAAAATTTTCTCTCCTCCCCAATTAAATCCTTCAGATTCCCTCAAATGGATTTTCCACTCTTCCCTAACCAGGTCAAAACCTCCCATAACAGCCTCTCATGCCCTATGTGCTTTGTAACACTTGCCACAGTTGACGTATAGTCATGCACTGCGTAAGGATGTTTCAGTCAACAATGGACTGCATATTCAACAGTGGTGCCATAAGATTAGCGCCATATAGCCTAGATGTATATTAGGCTATACCACCTAGGTTTGTGTGAGTACACTCTATGATGTTTGCACAATGATGAAATCGCCTCAGAATGTATCCTTGTCATTAAGTGACAAATGACTGTAGTTGAATGATGGTTTGATTAATGTCTGTCCCCCCACTGGCCTGGGAGCTCCAGGAGTACATAAACTACGTGCATTTTTGTCCATTATCATAACTGCAGCCCCTACCATAGAACTGGGCTCAGTAAATAGTTGCTGGTTTCATGAAGGGATGAGTGTCTCCTTAATGTCTTGCTCTACACAGCAGTAGCCAAAGGCCTGATTAAGGCCTCCACAGAGCCTCAGAGTCCTGGACCCCACTCATTCCTCAGTGTCTGCATCTTCTCTTCTGTCTCTTATAAAGATGCTTGTCGTTGGATTTAGAGCCCATCCAGGTAATCAAGATGACCTCATCTCATGAACCTTAACTCAATTACATCTGCAAAGTCCCTTTTTCCAAATAAGGTCGCATTCACAGGGTCCAGGTATTAGGACTTGGACATATCTTTTTAAGGGCCACTATTCAACTCACTACACCTGACATTCCTTCATACACTAGGGGGGGGGCTACTGGGCCCATGTAAAACCACGACTATCAATTCTGAATCTCCAGTCCAGGCCCACTCCAGACCACATAGCCTTTGCTTTGTGGCCACTTGATAGGTGAACTCATTATCTCCCCACACCCTACCCCACACCACCCAAACTGCTTCTGTCCAGCATTTCCGGTGTCTTGGGAAATGAAATCAATAGTTCTCAGTTATTTCCATTTTCTTCCCCACCACATTCCCCCGTTGCAGATCTTACCTGGTAGATCTCTCAATCCATTTACTGCTCTCCATTCCTGCAGCCATAGCCCAAGTTCAGGACACCACCATCTCTCACCTGGACAATCCATCCTTGCCCCAGCTTCCACTCAGCTCTCTCTATCCCTCCACAGGCAGAGTGATATTTTAACAAAGATTCTGATTGTGTGATTTACATATATAGAACCCCTCAAAGGTGTCCCTGCCCCAAAGATAGACAGAGATCTCACCAAGGCTACCAATCCCCTTTATCCAGCCCTGATAACCTCTCTTACCCTGTGTAGCCTCAAACTTGGTGCTCCAGCACCCCAGGGATTTTTCAGCTCCCTGGCCTTTGACTGTGTCATTCTTCTACCCTACAACACCCCTCTCCCAAAAGGTTGTTCCCTCCAAAAGCCTTCTCTGGGCCCAGGCTGAGACAGGTCACTGCATAGACCCCATGGTTCCACATGGATGAATGTCATTCATGCTACCTGACATCATTCATTCATGTCTACCTCCTTCGTCACTTTGCCTTCCTGGGGATGGCAACTGCCTCTGTCCTGTGCATCAGCTTTAGCATATGGCCTGTACCCAGGACCTGGACAGGGAGTGGAGCACAAAACTGCATGAATGAATGAAGGAACAAGGAATAAATGGACA